GAATCAGAGGGTGGAAGTCTGAGTAATCACCTAACAGTAGGATTGCACCAATCCAAATCTTTCTATTTCCTTGACTCTGGGTATCAGCGAGTAGCCTACTACTATAAGACCAAATCACATTCAAACCCATACGAGAAATAAACACTATACATCCAAGAACAAAACTTTACTGACTTGGACTTGAGTACATTAATTGTATGGATGTTTTACAGAGAAACAGAAACATGAATAAAATGCAAAGTCCCTCCTATGTGCAAACTTGCATGATAAATGCATTCAAATGCTCCAAATGGCCCCCTAACCACAAATACTGAAGAGAGTTTCATTTATTTCATTTGGACAAAGAGATGAGGAGCAGACATCTAACAGCGCAGAAAGCACCCAGCTGTTAAAAAACCCCCACTCCACAGAGCCTTAACAACAGGTGGATTCACCTTTTTTTCTTCTAAATTGACTCCTGTCAGGTACAGCTGTTATGAAAGAGGAAATTAGCACCAGAAACAAAAATTATTTTTTTTTGCACTCGGCTGTAAATGTGTTTATTTCTGCTCCATTCCTGTTCTGGGCTTCATTTTTCAGATGTTATTGCTTGCATAAAACCCTTCTAACACAATTTCCATCCCATGATTCAACATGTCTTTACAGGACCCAACCCAGCATCCCTCTCTGTTATATGGGCAGACGCTTAATGACATAAGTGTTTTATCAATGACTCCCACTGTGCAAATTAGAATTTGGGGTAGCGTCTGCATCCTGGAGATGTTCAAATACCACAGAAAGACACAAAGTGTTTTATATTATTATATATCATTTTTAAAAATCTTTGCATTGACAAGAATCGTATCCGCTGCTTCTGACAGCCGTTGAGCTTGGGATCTTAGGGTTCTTCCAGCTGTCAAATCCCAATTTAACCCCAGCGTGCTCAGCAGTTTGAGAAACACTGGTTTAACCTTAAGGTATTTCTGGTGAACTGCACATAAGCTGTGTCCTCCGAATGCTCCATCTGCTTAACTTTAGAGAGGGCTGAAGAACTCGTCACGGCAGCAAAATACACAGTACAACACGTTGTACGTATAAACACGTCTACGTGCGATATACATGAAACCAGATGAGCAATGAAAGGAATCAAAAGAAGCACTGGCATAATATAATAGAGTCTAAAAACTTTATTTAAAAAACCCACAGATGTGTTATGGCTGCAGGCATGCATACTGTACATATAAATTCACACCTACAGTTTAACGTCCGCACACGCAGTATCAAATAAGTAGAGCTGCACCTATGTAGGTTGCTGCTAAAGTTTCCTTATTTCCCCCCACATATTCATCACAGTTGGATCACTGTTTTACATCAAATACATGCGAGCTTTATCAAAACACTTCATATGTAACTAATTCAGCTATGGATATATGTGGTTTTTAGAATACTTAATGTGTACCTGAGGGACATTAGTAAGTTTGACAGCCACCGAACGAGGATGGGCTCACTGATCAATAACGGAACTCATCAACTATGACAGCATGCAAAATATAATGAATAGATAAGTAGATATAAACTATAATGAATGATTTTTAAACATTATTAATGAGGAATAAAGTTTCATTAAATATAAAGTTGTTATTTATTAAATGTAGCTTACAAAGTTTTGGAATTTATTTATGATCAGTCACAAATTTAATTACCAACATTTTTTGACAAAAAACCCCACATACTGAATCAAGAAGCTAAACTCAGGATCACATGATTCCCCCACCTTCCCATTCAACCTCAGAATCAATTTCCTAAAAAACACAAAGAGTGATTTTTGAAGAGTTAAAATTAAGTGCTAATTTTGCTCAAGTTGGCCACCCCTGATTCTCAAATATGAATATTTCCAAATCAGTGCAGGGTGGTACAACGAAAACAGTAATTAATTTACTCTTAGGCTCTCGTATAAAGAATCATATTTTTGGTTAGCCTCTTGATTGGAGGTAAGGCCACTTTTCATTTTAATGTCCCCCTGCAGAGCACTGAAGACTGGCTTTGAAACAATCGCCACTTATTTGTTCATGCAGCTGCAGACTAAAACAATATTCCAGGCTCCCACATCACTCTGTCACACAAACCATACTCAGAATTCACTACACAGAAAATGAGTCAGTGACACTGGCTTCCTGTTAAATTTAGAGTCAATTTTAAGATCCTGGTCTTGACCTACAGAGCTGTGCATGGATTGGCACCAGCCTCCATCTTTGATCTGCTACAGCCCTATGTCCCTAGCAGGTCTTTGAGGTCATCTGATCAGAGCTTACTTGCTTTAAAAAATACTAAGAGTAGGACTAAGGGTGACAGAGCTTTTGCCACTGTGGCCCCTAGACTGTGGAACTCTCTCCCCCAAACATTAAGAACTGTGGACTCAATAGCTGTTTTTAAAAAAACAACTCAAAACTCACCTTTATAAAACTGCTTTTGGTTCATTTTTTGCCCGTTTTATTTTCTCTTTTTAAATCTTTTTATGACTTGTAATCTTATGTGCAGCACTTTGTGATTCTGTCTTGAAAGGTGCTATATAAATAAAAATTTATTTATTATTATTTAAATACTTCCCACTTCCTGTATCAGTACTGGTATGTTGATTCAACGAGTACCCAACTACTGTACTTATTTGTTCATAGACTTTTTAAAATTAAAATTAACAAAAAAGTGCGACTGACCAACAAGTCGGTCTGAATAGTGATTTTTCAACTTGGGCTATGGGTACTTAAGTAAAAGCTTAATATTATCAGCACATGAAAAGAACGACATACACAAAACAATTAGCCTAAGTTTTCTCATCCAGGTGATCCAAATAATTTTCTTTATATTGAAGGATTATGAAAAGCTGCAACAATGTAAACAGGCTAAGTATGTAGTATTGCTATTTTATTTTTCTGATATGTTCACTGGTGTGGTCCCTGACTGTCACGTTTTTCAGCTTTAAGCAGTGTTTCTCTTTTCATTTTCGTCTGACAGTGAATTTTACCATAAAATTAAAATACTATTGGCGGAGAAGTAAGGAGATGCTGCATGTCTTGCCGAGATAGAGATTGTTCGAATGCAGTTTGCGCCTTTGGCACATACCGTGCAGCGAAAGAAGATGATCCATTTGAATCAGCAGGTAAAAATGACCCTCAGGCCACTGGTTCTCTGTTACACAGTGAAAGTCTGAGGAGCACAAGTTTATGTTTTAAAATATATAAAAAAAAATCTTCAGTTTTTCAGGTGTATTTTTAACATTAATTTATTATTTCTTCTCAAATGAGGAAGTGACTTATTTCGAGCTAAGTAGTGTGTCCAAAAAGAGGCAAGCTACTGAAATTCACGAAAGGTATGATGAATATAGCACAAATATTAGGTAGCTGACATGCTGCTGTGATAGCTACCATTTCCCAGCATGCATTTAGCTTTGGGGTCATTACCTCATGTGTTATAATATTTTTTTTAAATGAAAAAAAGTATAGATGTGAGTATGTATGTGTATTTTCAAGTGTTTTATTCAGGTTATTAATAAAAAAAAAATTAGCATTGACAACAGCATCCCTATACGAACACAGAGATTTATGTGATCTATCAGGACTGGAATGGAACAAAACCTCAGAAGCATGCAGAAGAGATACAACAACCGGAGAACTGAGAAAGTCAGAAGCACGTGACACAGATACAGCGCAGATACTGAGATAAAGATACACAGCATGGCATGTGGTGGATGCTTTTATCCTTAGCTCCCCACAGCGCGATGCGGGAATTTTTAGTGCAGAAGGCCTCAGTGGGAATTACCAAAAGAGGTTATAAGATGTAGGAGCAGCTATGTATCAGATGCTGTAAGCAATGCACTGAACTCCACAAAAGTACGCCTTCACAATCAAGATGCAGAATGAACGCTCATACATAAAAGATTATTCGATATATGGTATTTTCAGAGTTGTAACTCAGTGGTAAATTATTGATATGTTTAGAATGTGTTCATCATAAATGGAGTTGCATTTAAATTGTATGAATTATATAATAATAACAACTAAAAGACATTTAAACGGTTGAAGAATTCCCTACTAATCCAATAATTTTATAGTTGAATTATCCATATTGGCTTACCCAGCCAAACTAAGACCTAATATTTAAGGGCTACCAATTACTATCCTATACAAATAAACAAAGAGAGGTAAATTAGGAGCAGGGGAGGATGAAATGAAGCAACTAAAAGAATTGCAAAAGGAAGTTTCAAATATTCTAAGAACGCTTTGTGCAGCATGAAAAGAAACAGAGCCTGGGACTACACAAATCTATAGACCAACAGCAAGAAGAAAGCGCAATTTACAGAAGGAGTACGAGAGAACAGGTGGTATTCTTTGACCAGGTTATTAGCTATTATGTGCAGTGACAGCCCTAATGGAAAAAAATGACAGGGAGCTAAAAAGAGAGAAATGGAATGTGAAAGGTATGGCGCCTAAATAAAGGGTTGGGATAGAAACATATAAGCGATAAAATGGAAAAAGAAAAAAGACAAAGACAATGAAGAAAAAGATGATGGAGAGAGGACTAAACAAAGGAACGAATGTGGAAAATTGGAGGATATAAATGCACATTTTTTTCATTTAAGTGTAATCAGCCTCAAATACAAGACGGTCCACTGATGCATGATTTATCCCAAGTTAGATTAAAAGTGGCTTTTCATATGCGTTCATATAATCACGCTGCGACTATCAGTCGAGGATTAATGTTGTTGACAGGGTCTGTACATACCTGCCCACCTTGGGTACTTGAATGATGTTTATCTACTTTCTGCTCATCGTTTCACACGGGAGCACAGGAAGAAACATAGAGAAAGAGGATACAGTAGTTTATTTCTGCATCACACCAAGCCAGACAAAGCTGGTGTCTCCCTGTGAACCCTAGATAAACAGGGATCAACAGAGGTAAGCATAGAACAACAGAGTCAAACGTGGAAGAATCAAGATTAGGGAGAGAGGGATTTTGGTGGGAGGTAGCGAGCTGGAGCAGAAGGATGGCTAAAGGAGGAGAGGGGAAGTTAAAAGGAAGTTAAACAAAACAAATTGTGTTTAGGGTAGGTTAGAGGACGAAAGGTGACTGAGAGGAAGAGGAAGAGGAGAAGATAGGAAGGATGAAGTGGGAGGACGAAAAGACGGAAGACAGGTGTGATCCTCCACAGCATGGGTGTTTATTCAGCCAAGAGCAGCAGCGGTAGAGCAGGGGATTATGGGATTACAGTCGGTGTCACTGGTCATGTGAGTCGACATGGACGCCACTGACCCCGCTTACTTTTAGTAAGGAAGCTTAAGTTGGCTGTGAAGGCGAGGTCAAACATGCACGCACACACACACACATTCACACACACACTCCTGCCCACGCATGTTTCTATCTGGCGAACGCACCGTCAATGTCTAGCCTCTCTTTCTGAATTTTTTTAACACTTTTATTTTCTTTTTTCCTTTCTGTTAGATTTTCCAACCCTCTATTTCCTCATCCTGATACATAGTCTCTCTCCTTTCAGATTTGCTGTGAAATTTTGTAATTTTGCTCCCTTCCTCGCTCTCTCCCTTCTGGATGTCAGACGTTTTTGCTGCATGTTATACATGCACAGCTCATCCATGCCATCGCAAATCCAGCGGGATTCCATGTTTTTTCTCTATGGGAGGTTAAGGAGTAAAACTGAAGACGGAGGAATCAAACATCTTAGTGCAGGAAGAACAAACTCTCACATTGTCCAGTGTGTGAGGACACGGGAACAATGTTGGTCTTGGTAAGTTTGTTTGGTAAGTTTATTTATTTAACATAAAAAAAAGAATGATTTAAACCAAAATGCAAATACATTTAGCAAAAGCATGTATTTGAGGTGCGGGCAACAATGTTTTAGCCTCAAGTTACCATATCAACAAGTTGATGGTATCAGGTAAAAAGTTACATGTAGTTTAGCAGTAGTTGGTTTCACCGCAGTAGTGTCTTTGTAGAAATTTTTTACATTTTTTTAAACAAAATCTGCAGACCTGAGTTACATGCCATTCACTTAGAGAATCCACGATAATGTGCATAATATTTTGTCATTTTACACACTAGAACTTTGAATAAATGTAGAGTAGCCATCACTGTTACATTAAGAAAAACTTCTGTGATGTCGTTTAAAAGTCTTTCAACAAATATGACAAATATGTAAGCACAAAAAATGTATTAAAGGTTTATAATACCGTAAACAGCCAGGAGCAGATTTGGGCATTTATTAACGTATTTGAATATCAAAAGTTTTATTTAGAGACCCATAATTGAATGCTGCATATCAGTAGTCACGCTGGTAAATACTGATACAATTTAACGATGTACAAGGTCGTCACTGGGGAACTTTCAATTGTTACAGAGTATTTTAACAATAAATATCCTGATAGCTGATTAGTAACTATGTTAAAGTTTTCATTAATCCTATATTTAATTTTTTTTATATCCAACGTGTGTGATTCATGTGTGTGCTTTGTTATTGTATATAACAATATATATATATATATATA